AGTTTATATACCAATTTGTCATTCATAGTACATTTATACTAAACCATGAATAACAATACCTCAATATAAATTAAAGACTGCCACTCAATATTTTTAAATGTATGAAAAAATCAAAAAAATAAAAAAATCATGATTTTTTTATAAAAAAATCAAGTGATTTAATCATATGATTTAATCATTTTGATTTAATCATTGCCAACCCTGATTGGATTGGGTTGCATTGGGTTGGGTTTGATTGCATTGGGTTGGGTTCAGTTAGATTAGGTTGTTTGAATTTGGTTGGGATGAATTGGGCAAGGGTGAATTGGGTTGGCTTGGTTCAGGTGACCAGACTAATGATGTAGTCTGTTTATTTAAAATGATTTATCACAAGCTGCTTTGTTATCCATTGTCAGTGCCAAGAGCCTCTCAACGCAAGCACTCAAATACATGTTCATATATACACTCTCACAGCCATCAGAACTGCGCACTACATCCGAGTACATTGCATAGTTCCGGTGGCTATGAGCGTGTATAATTAGGTACAGCAATCCCTTGATTAGCACGGTTTTGAATACCGCGGTTTTGATTAACGCGGAAAAAAAATTTGCGACCTACCCTTTAAGAAGTTATTAACAAAAAACGCTCAAAACCGTCCCGAGTAGCCCCGGTTGATGGTATTTTTATGTTTACACACTCAAGTCTTATGATGTAAATTTAAAGAGTGAACTAATTTTGGGACAAAATTCTAGAATGTAAAAATGATTGAGTACAATACAGCAATCCCTTGATTAGCATGGTTTTGAATACCGCGGTTTTGATTAACGCGGAAAAAAATTTGCAACCTACCCTTAATCTACGCGGTGCCAGTTTCGATTAGCGCGACTTTTTTTCACAACGCATCATTTTCCCGCCTCTAGCCAGAGGTGTTACGTTCGTAACAAAAGTGTTACTTTTTGCTTATTAGATTTAATTTTGTTACTTATGTTACGACTTTTGGAAAAATTCTCCAAATGTTGTTACTTTATGAATTTCAGCCAATAATTCTTTAAATAAGGTCCCGTTCCGTAGGCACTTGTGCTGACTAAAGAGTCGGTTTAACCGCGCCTTGTCTCGTTCATAACTCGAATGATCGAGTTCGGCAACGTTCGCCGGTAAGTGCGCCATGCCGGTGCTCTAGCCCTTTAAGCCCTGGTGTGACAAATTCGTCACACAGAAAATAAAAGCTTCAACCGAGAGTAATTATATGTTTGGAGTCTAGCCGCGAGTGTGACGGTAGCGTCACATGTTGTGAACTCGTTCGAACGACGTTCGATGGAGTAGGCGCATCGCTACTGCCAGTTTAACACAAAGACTGCGTGTGATTGGAAAAGTAATTCAGATTGTTTTTTCACTTTCGAAACATAATTCAGTGCGTAAAGGGCTAGCCTTCAACTGGTCAAGATCGCTGCCATATCTACTGCTCACTTTTATCAAACTACATAATTTTCCTTTCCTTTGCTATTTTTGAGGATTCATTATAATTATTCCCATATATTCTTAAGTTTGATTAGCGCGGTTTTGCTTAACACGGTAAAACTCGGGGATTTATTAACCGCGTTAATCAAGGGATTGCAGTACTCAAATGTAGGACTCACAGCCAGGAACTGTGCGTTACAGTGCGTAGTTCATGTGGCTGTTGGGGCATATGCTTGGGTGCTCAAGTGTAGCTCTCACAGATATCGGAACTGCACGCTACAGCGTGTAGTTCATGTGGCAATGAGCGCATATGTTTGGGTGCTCAAATATAGCTCTCACAGCCAACAGAACTGTGCGCTACAGCACGTAGTTCAGGTGGCTGTGAGCGTGAATGCTTGGGTGTTCAAATGTAGCTCTCACAGTCATTGGAACTGCGCGCTACAGCGTGTATTTCAGGTGTAAGTGAGCGTGTATGCTTGGGTGCTCAAATGTAGCTCTCACAGCCATCAGAACCACACGCTACGACACAACGTAGTTACGATCATAGCATGTAGATCAATATGGCGCTTCAGCTATATCGATCGTAAATGACGATTTATGGAGAAGCATAATTGGTGACCGGCTTCCAGTGGCATCCACCTTGGCGTCTTTGGCGCATGGAATCAGCATCCTCAACCTATGTTGTGCCATGCTTTACAGTCTGGACCGTGGGAGGTTGTCTGCTCCTCTATTTTAAGTTTTACATTCCCAAAACCCCAAATTACCAAGGTAATTTAAAATGAAAATCTAATTGCACCTTGTTCTTGCCATTTCCGGAACCATGAGATTTCTGCCAGATGAATTACCTACTATCTAGTCATGGTGCAATTCAAAGGTCATTATAAATGACCAACGTCATATGGAGTCTATGAACGCAGTACCCAAGAAGGAGGAACGGCCGGCCTACACACCCTCACTCAGTGGTAAACATTCGTCAACTGGTCTAACTTCCGGCTGCACCATGCACCATCGCTCGTCCAGTGGACTCCATACCTAATCACTCGAACAATGTAAAATGATGTTCCGTGAGTCTTTGAAAATCAATTAAATTGATTAAAAATTATTATTATGTAAAAACGGACACTGTTCTTTATAGAAAAATTCATCATCTATCGTATTTGACCCTTCGTTTGACGTAACTCCTTTTCTAAGTTTAAATATTGGAGGGTGAACTTATAAATACTTTGACAGACTCCTCTTTTGCTGATCGCATACGCAACGTTTGAAGGAAATTCACGAAGAACTTTTGTCAAGTGTATGGAGAATAGTGTATGAGCTCCGGGATGGTGCGTAGATGAGTCAGGGACTTTGAAAATGGCCGAACTGACGTCCTCGACGACGGCGGAACTGACGGCCGTGCTGGGCGGCCATCGGTTTCCGACGTAACAATTGCCAAGTTTGAAGCGGTAATGCTTGAAGATAGAATGATTACAGTTTAAGAGCTGTGTGAAAAATTTTTGAGGTTGGAAAAAAACAATTGACGAGATTTTGCCTGAAAATTTAGTTGATTCAAAGGTCTATGCAAGATGGGTACAAAAAAGCTCACAGCAGACCACCAGCAGCAGCGGGCGTCCATGCACGGCGTCAGTTTGGCCATTTTTAAAGTCCCTGACTCGTCTACGCACTATCCCGGAGCTCATACACTCTTCTCCATACACTTGACGAAGTTTTTCGTGAATTTCTTTCATTTATTTTTTCTCAGCTGCCAAGAAACGTGTAACAGACCGCAACTCGCAGCTGGCGGGAGACGCAAGAGAAAGCACAATCACTGACGCCCTCTGGGGCAAGATCAAGCGTCGCAGGGAGGCTGGCTGGTAAGGGATTAGAGTCGAGAATCAAACAGCCTGCCTCATGACCTAGCCGCGCATAGAAATGATTCTAGCGCCAGCGGCAGCCTGTGGAACTTATTACCAGTATGGAATTCTGTATAGGTAATATATTATCATGTTAATATAATAAAATGTATCGAAAACTTACCACCTTACAGCTTACACCTTCCACCAAAGTGACAATTGATACTCATTACACTGAGCTCGTCAGATCAGAAACTGCGGACACCCGGACAGCCGCACTTCCTTTATCTCGCTTGCGTGTGGTTCAAAAACCGATAAAAAGTCGGCGACTTCCCAAATGCAAACACTAGTCGTGTATGCGTATCGAGAAATTTTTTGTAAAGAATATGTTCCAAAATAAAATAAAAATTACGTCATCTTTTGCAGAAAGTTCTCACGATTTCATCGATACCCACAAAGTTCTCGAATCCACACGAAATGATGGGATAAACTGCTAAACTTTCACGGCGTATGGCAACATTGTGTTGACTGTTGACATTAGACAAGACGGTGT